TTGGTAATTTGGCCGTGTATTGGCACGAATCTTGTGGTACTAGAGATGTACGCTAATTATTGGGAGCGATAAACTATTGGGAATTTTATATTACTATGAAAGATCGGTTGACATTAATAATCTTTTATTTGTACTTTTGATGCAAAATAATTGATAGACTTTATGTTCTATAAAAGCCAAAGTATGTTTATGAAGTTTTTTTCGATTCAATATATTGCGATATTGTACGAAAACTGTCATAGTAGTAAGTTATATTTATTTATTGTTGTATTTATCTCAGTCCCTGCAACATCCAACATCACTACCTTCAGTTTGCATAGCACTGCTATCTAGCAGTTGGAGGTTTAAAGACAAAAATCTATACAGTGTTTCTGAGAACTGATATTTTCACACACCCCAGTTTGGACTGACTGGTTAGATAATCTCCACTGAATGTTACCCATTCATAAGGTCATGCAGAGCCACTGGCTGCATTCTATCCAACTGTCAAGCCAATTTGAAGCAAATCTTGTGTGGCCAGAAATAAAATGCATATTAGTGCGTTTCCATTGAGAGATATAAGAAGAAACTTTTAAAGACAAAAAAATTTAGCAGAAAGATTAAAATAGTCCTCTTGAACTGATTTAGTGTTAAATTGTGTTGTTTGGTCTCTAGTCTAGCTAATGCTGGCCATATTTCAAGACGTGTGTCCAACACACGGCAGCAATAACAGTTTTGATATTGCTGGAAAACTGTGGTAGAACTGTTTTAACCTTTAAAACGTAACCGCATCCAAATCTTTGTTAGCCTTTCTTATTAATAAATCAAAATGTCCTCTTCTGTGCAGCTTTTTAAAATTCAGCACATGATAATATGCAGAAATATACTTGGATGGAAACAAGTTATTGTTACAAAGTTATGTTCATCTGTCTGTCAGCTTGTCCGTACTGCTGTTCTACTGTATCAAACATGTTTTTGTAGAAATAACACCTGGAGCTCTCAAAGATGTGACACAGGTGGAGCCAGAGCAAAAACATCAAGCTGTCTCAATAATCTACATGATTGTTAGACAGGTGGATAAAAATGGTTGTTGCTAGGTGACTAGCCTAGTTTGCATGTAAACGGGTCATATAGTGGACATGCACACTTGAGAACAGTGACATGCTCTGCACACTTGTTTCCATGGCAACAGTCACATGGAAGCCCAATCTCCAGCTCACAGATGATATGAATCTATAATTGTACCTGATAGTTGATAATCAGCAAACTCTAGATCTCCCTGCCGCTGCAGTTGAACTTCACTGTGTCATATCTTGTATTGAATCCCTCGACTAATGCCCATCAGTGTGAAGATGATTGGTGGATTCTCCTGGGGTGAAACCCCCCTGTGTTGTGCTGTGTTGCAGCAGAAAGGCTGAAACTACATGGGGAGGGAAAATGATAAACCCCTCCGTGGTAGCCTTCCCCTTATGTGGAGTTCCAACATAAAAACTAAATAATATGAATGTTTTTTGAGATGTTGGGAGTTATAGTTTATGATCATTGGTGTATAGATAATCTCATTTTAGATTACAGTCCTTGTGTTGGAATGAATTTGTGATCAACCACTAGATGGTAAATGGACCTGTACT